TGAGTCCTTGAGCACAACTTGCCTTGGACTAGTGTATGTTTGGCAAGGGTGTAGGTTTGATCTCAGCTTTGGTGGTAACATTATCAGCTAACCCCCCCATGAAACCAACTGATAGGGTACTTGATTAACAGTTGAATTATATAATATTGTTCACTTTTCATATGATGCACACTGCAAAAACAAAACAGCACATCATTATAAGAAAGGGTGAAATGGGATAAGAAGTTGCATATATGTTTTATGATTTTTTTCTAAAAACATACAGAGTCTGGGCAGGTCCAAAACAACTGAGAAGTGGTTTCATTTTCCAGTTTGTGTCCATTGCCCTTCTAAGATGATTCTTTACCGGATAACAGCGATGTAGAAGTTTGTAGCAGATTTCCCTTTGCTTGATGGTGATGAGATATTTGTGAGGTAATGTCCGTACATTTTTCCATCGAATATTCTCAGCAGAGTCGGGCTACTTACAGCGCACGTGTAGGGCTCCATTTGGGAGGTGCACTCGTGGCGATAGTTGCTCTTTTTCTGCTGTGACTCATTATAAGGCAAGTTTAATTGAAGATAAAGTCAAGTAAGTTTCTTTTGAAAAGTTTTTCAATGTTTGGTGCGCAAGCATCTTCACTCATGCCTGCTCAAACTGCCATCTTCGGGTGCTGTCCTGCCACTTCCCCAGTTTGGAAAAGTATTGGAATAAATGTATATTTTTGTTTATTAAAATAAATAATTTAGTAAAATAATATTGGTAGGGACTATTTTGTCTTCCCCAAATATTGGTTGTGACATGTCCCCACTGTCCCTATGCAAACCTATGTCCTTGGAGTTTGGTGAGGGATTGGCACAGTATGGCAGCCACATGTCTGTGAGTTACAAAAAAGAAAAACAAATAGCAAAAGTTGTTTATTGACTCCAGTTAAGTAATCTGTCACTGAAAGAATATACCCAAAAGGACATGTCAAAGTGAGAAGTCCATACATATACTCAGTGCTTACTGTACATAATTACAAAGGTGGCTCATGAATATAGATCTCGCCTTCCCATAATTTGTTGCCTTGCAGAATGGGGTCATGACCTCATGTGGTTGCCGGGGTCAAAAGAAACAGCAGCATTAAGGCCCGAGAAGGTCATTAGAGGCACAGAGGGCTGATGGGGGAGAGCTGTTAACCCTTTCCTCTGCTGCATGCACGAATGTGGAGGAGAGAGGAGAGGAAACGCAGGGGAGGATATGAGAGGAGAGGTCATATTATTGTAGCATAGCAACCCAGGTTTCAGTGTGGGTTGAGGCAAAGCAATAATATATAATATAGCTGAGAGGTTAGACAGCTTAGAAGAACCTTTCAAGATGGATGTGGAGAGAGAGGCGCACTTTCAGCTTGGAGAATGGGAGGCGATGGTAGGAGGAGGTGGGGGTGAATTGCTGGAAAAAAATAACCCGAACCTCCCCATCTCTCTCTCTCTTGCTCTCTCCCACTCTGTTGTCCGTCTACGCCTCTCGCCCCCACCCCCTCCTCTTCGGTGCATCATTAAAACAAGCAGTGTAGTGTTCAGAGGCTGCACCAGAGACAGTGACCTCCACAATAAGGAGATGTTCTTGCTTCGGGGAAGAGAAGGTCGTTCTGTGTGCACTCCTCTCCTACGACTTCCAATGGAGTAAATGAGATTTGGAGGCAGAGAGGAGGACAGGATCAAGAGGGTAGACGAGCCCAAAGACAGATAGTCAGACGCAACGTGAAGACTCCAGTTTAGACTTTAACATACTGATATCATGAACCATGCAAGACCTCCATTCTCCCTCAAGTCAAATGAATCAAGAGTATAAATGAAAATATTGTTTGCATTATGCCAGTTGGGAAAGAAATCACTCCCTTTCAAAACATTTAATAGCAGAGTTGGATACACAGAGATCGGAGTTATCAAAAGCATTGTTCACACCATTGGTTATTGTAAGTTCTGGTTTGTTTGATTTGGAAGACAAACTACAGCACTGGCTTCATTTCAAGGCAAGTAGCCAAGTGGCAATAGTATTGTTAGCTAGGAAAATATTAACATCACAACACTGGCACAAAATCTCACTCTATTCAATGGGCATGATTTCAGTTGAAGACTATAGCATACTGTGCCTTTAGCATAATAAACCTACTATAGGTAAAACAGCAAAACAATCCAAAGGCCTAGATTACATTATATTCTGATCAATGTTATAATGTTGTTTCCTCATCACAAACAGGACGTTGTTTTGTTTCATTCACATATGGTTTAAAGCTCATAAGAGTTCATTTAGTGTAATGTACAAGATTCCCACTCTTTTTCAGGGACAAACTTTCAAAAGTTTAACATGACTTTTTCATAACCTAAAGTGAATTTTCTATGACTTTACAGCACCCTACATGTGTAGAATTGATTGTACTTTTAGGGCAAAATTAGAAATGTTAACCCTTCCCACTCACCTTATGGTTTGGTATTATAGTTTTTTAACATTCAAAATACTGTCAGTGCATTTATTGTCATCTCTTTTAAACAAAAGGCGCATACTTACAGAAAAAAAAACATAATAGCCTATTGATAACTTAACAGAGCACTGTAGTTCCGTGAAAGAGATACAAAAATTCCATGACTTTTCCAGGATTTCCATGGGAACTCTGAATAATAAAAATAATAATGCAGGTGTAACAACAGAAAAAGTAGGTAATCAATAGGATTTGACAACATTGACCAAAATGTAAAAGTTAAACAAAAGAGGTTAGAACATCTTGAAGGTCGAAGGAACAGTGAGGAGGCAACAGGTGATACAAGAAAGTCATTTAAGCGTAGAGAATACACGATGTCTCTACACAAAACCTTACAGTAGTTTACCCATCATACACTGTGCATACAATTACAGCACAGACCTGCTCTTGGACAGGGAGAGCAGCCCTGGGTGACACAAGGACAGCCCCCCCCTCTCTCTCTCTCTCCTCCTGCGCCATGTCGTTTCACACAGGAACAAAATGTGTGGGCAGCACGCACAAACACTCCATCCTCCACCGCCTTAAATCCAATAACCCCGATTCTCTCTGCTTCTCCCACTGTCGTTAGCGCCATTCACGTATTCTGAGAACTTGGCTTCCTTTCTTTCAATAGCATCCTCAACTATTCCTATTTCCTCTGTACTTGTCATCAGTAGACCCCTGTACCATTCTACTAATTTTCTTTGCTTGTCTAAGCTCTTTTTGGACTTACCAGTAGTGAATTTGGAAAGTTTAAGTGGGCAACCTTATCCACGTATTGTTCTTAGTGGCCAAAATTTCCTTTTTTCCTGCCTTTAAAGTGCATTGAGATAGCTCCTTTGCTTCTCCTTTTGTCAGTTCGGTACACTTATTGTTTTTTGCTTTTTGAAGTGCGCTTTCTATCTCTCTCTCTGTGCGTTTGACTTAGACAGATTGTTGTCGGTTTTTTGGTCGCACTTGTTTAACGAGACTGCATAGTGGTCTTGTTTCTTCAGCTTTTCAGTTTTAGATTTTTCAGAAAAGTGTGACTTGGTATTTGACAGATTAGTAACTATAGGTCTGCTTTCCTTGGCGATTTAGATTTTACAGAGACTACTGGATTTGCGTCTTCGTCCGCGTTTTGAACTCAGTTTTGGTCGACCTTCGCTTGGCTGATTTTGACTGATATTGCACTTGCAGGTCACTTTCTTCTGCAGTTGTACTGAAGTTACTCAACATTTTCTTATTTTCTTCCATGTTTTGTGCTTCATTTCGGCTGACTTTACCGAAACATTAACTTTGCTGACTTAGTGTTGCATTTGTTTGACTGAATAACACTTGCGCTCTTGTTTCTTCTTCACGTTTTCAGATTTAGACACTCCGATTTTACAGCAAGACACTAGGGTCTACTTTTATTCCATTAATTTACTTCCAAATTTGCATTTCATAGGAGACGTTCTGTGTTATGGGATTGAAAAACAAGGGCGAGCTGCTGTGCTTTCAGTAATTATATCGTCAAGTCTAGCAAAACAAATAAAAGTTCAAGATTGGCTTCTCCAGCTAAAGAACAAGAAGGGGAGAGACCTTTGAGTGCAACGTCTGGTAAAACCCACATTTCAACAGCTTCCGTCAGGTCCAGAAAGTCAAATCAAACTGTAATTTCTACCAACGCCAAAGAGGAAAATGACAATGCAAGCGAAAGGGTGACTAGTCCTGTTTCTGTCAAGTCTAACAGGTCTTCAAGATTTCATGTAGTCACAATAAAGACACCGGAAGTGTTTAGCAATGACAGACCGGCGAGTTCTGCATCAAACAAAACAGAGAAATCTAATGTTTCAACCAAAATGGAGGCTGCTGAAAATGATAATGCAAATGAAAAAATATTGGAAGACCAAGTTACGAAAAGCAGTAATTCGAACTGTGCTCAAGAGCTGATGCCAGAAAGTGGAGAACCAAGAGGAACTAGCTCCTTATCTGTGCATTCTGGTAAATCTGGGAAGTCAAAATGTTCTTGTGGAAAAACAAAAAAAGACATAGATGATATATGAAAGAGGACACAGAAGTGGTTGCGAGCGTCGCTTCCCAAAAAAGAGAAGATTTAGATTATGAAGACTCATTTGCATCAGTCTCTCTCGTTTTGCCAGAAGATCAAGAATCAGAAAGTGGTGAATCCAATGTTTCACCTCAGCGAAAATAAAACCAAAACTTCTACTCCTGAAGTTCGCTGAAAATGCAGAAGAAGTAGGTTCAACCGCTCCCAACGCTGTCAACATCCCAACTATTGAAACACCAGGACAAGCAAACAAGAATGATCAAGATGCGAGCGACGAGAAAAGCAGAGCGGCTAGTTCGTGTTCGACCAAAAGCACTCGCTCAGTCAGAAGCACACAAAATCTAAAAAGTCTTGTACCAATTGTAGTAAACTAACAACTCAAGGAAATGCAAATGGTACAGCAAGCCCAGTTGGAAGCATTAAATCAGTTGCAACGACAAGAAACTGGCCAGTTAACAGCTCCAGATAATAGGACAACATCGGCAATGTCAAATGCAAGTGCTAAAAGCCAAAGAAAATCATCTAAACATGAAGATGATGATAATGCAAGTGAGGAAAGTGCTGAACAATCTAGTGAGACTAAAGTGGAAGATGAGACACAAGCAAGAGCTAATTCAAAAAGTCCAAGTAGACTGCGACCGAAATCTGGTGGTTCAAATCGGTCTAGTTCAAGTAAGGGCAAAAGTTCACAAAATAAAGAAGTAAATACTAAATCACTAAGCCCTCAAAATGTCTCCATACCAGCCAGCAAGGCAGATACATGCAGCGAAAGCATCCTGTCGCACTCCCTTTCTGCTGCGGACTTAGCCAAGGAAGTCAGAGCTGAAAGCCCGAGGTCCAAGGTCAGCAGATCCAGCAACAAGAGTGCAAAGAGTCAAAGAAGCAAGAAGGAGGCGGTGCAAGAGCTGACGCCATCCTGTCTACCAAATGCGTCTCCTAATGAGGTCGTGAGCGACTGGCTCAACCGCATTCCCGCCAACATGCTGGCGCTGGGAGACGACGACGAAGACAAGTGTGCTGAAGATACTGAAAGAGAGGCCGGCATCAGTGACGAGGCAAAGGTCAAAGGTGAAGACGAGGAGGTGAAGACAGAAGTGAGCGAGGGAGAGAAGAAGGGAGCAAAGGAGGAAGGAGGAGCTGAGACGTTTGAGATTCGGCAGGTTGGCATGGTAACCGAGACCTCGCTGCCTAAAAGCTGGCACTCGTCCGCCGCTGTGATGAAGGTGCTGCTCAGTTCGTCTCTGGGGAGGTGTCGGAGTATGCCTGAGGTAAGATATCAGAATTTGAACCATAACCCTATGTATTTGGAGATTCTGGTATAACTTGAGAACATATGGCCATTTTAAAGGTCCTATGTTACACAAAATGTACTCTTGCAAACTTTTAGCCATGTTATAATGCTGTTACCTCATCAAAAACAGACCTGGAGTTATGTTTTTTTTTCATTCACACATGTTTGCGTAACCTTTTATTAATGGTCTGTCTACACCTCCAAAGCTCAAAATGCTCTGTTCCACCTTGTGATGTCATGAAGCCGTAGTTTTCAAGTTAGCAGCCACCTTTTACCTTTTGCACCACAGAAATAGGCAATTCCAGATCTGAAATTATCCAAATTATTTTAGTGAAGGTGCAGAGAGTTTAAAAACTGGTGGAGAAAATGGTGGAGGACTAAATATGCAGGGCTTGTGTAATAATCATGTGAATGAAACAAAACACAACTCCAGGTCTGTTTCTGATTAGGTAACAGCATTATAACATGGCTAAAAGCTTGCAAGAGTACTAAATTTTGCATAATATAGGACCTAAATAGCCATATATGCTCAAATTACACCAGAATCAGAAACAAAAGTTTGTGATGAGGAAACAACATTATAACATAGATTAAAAAAAATACTAATAATTTAATTCATTTCAATAAGGCATAGACACTTCTCTGACCTTGTTCGGAATAATATTTTTCTTCTGAGATGTACACGATTTAATATTTAGATAGAATAGGACATGATAAATGCCACAATACTGTCAATTCAATACAATACAACACAATCACACACTGTGGAAAAATCAATCTATGCAAACATGGGTTTCAGAATGATGAAAAATTAGGACCGTTGCTGTAGCGATCAACAATTTACAACAATGAAAAAAGTCTTGCATATACTAGGGAGCTGAAATCCATAAACAGGCCTAATGAATGAATAGAAGCAGTAATGCAGCGTCTTTTCTATCCTTCCTGATCCTTGTTTAGTTCAACTATAGAAGACATTTTTCAATTATTTTCCCAGAGTTCCATAACAAGAAGGGTAATTGTGTTCATTTTCTTGTTTTATAGGTGTCTCCAGTGTACGGCCGTAGACTTAGCGCTTCAGCCAAAGAGCTACTGGACTGCCTGACCCAGCTCCAGCTCATAGAACCAACTGGAAACCAAGGTTACTCCTGTACAGAAGGACCAACACCCACAGTTTGATGACATAATTTCTATTCCTTCAGTCCCTCTGGTTAGCTGAACCAAGGGACGTAGCTGACTCCAAAGACCCCAACGGTAATGATCAAATCTCCCCTCCGAGGTCTTCGTCCGGGGTGGACATGAGCAGTGGGTCTGGAGGGTCTGGGAAGGACAATGTCAACCAGGAAGATGAACCAAAACAAGACGAAGAGGGGGAAAATAAAACCGAAGAGGTCTCGGAAAGTCCTGATGATGCAAAAATTACAGAGGGTCCGTCGTCTTTGGATAAAAATTCCAAAACTCCAACTGATAATGAATTAGAAACACCGGAGGATACACAAGAATGCTCCAGCTCGGAAAGTCCACCCACAGTTTTGCGAGCTCCCCTTACCAAGCGCCCATCCCAGGATCCTGATCCAGTCTGGGTCCTCCATCTTCTCAAAAAGCTAGAAAAACAATTCATAAACCACTATGTTACTGCGATGGCGGATTTCAAAGTTAAATGGGACCTAGAGGATAGTTTGATATTGGACAGGATGATCGTGGAGCTGAGGGATGAGGTGAGCAAGAGGATAGAGAAAAGCGTGGAGAAAGAGATGAAGAAGATACAAAGCAGAGCGGGGAAAAAAGTACCCCACCCACCACTAGGGGGCAACCAGTCCACTGACTCTGTCATGACAGAGAAACGAAGACGCCTACTCAAGGTAAATAAAGTGAATGCTATTTTGGTTTTAACTAACTACACTTTATGCTGGTGGAGTTTTCTTGTTGCTTCTATTATTACGTAATTTGCTTGTCTGTTACTGACATCACAGTTGGATTTTCTAAGTTTCTGTTGGTTAAATCAGCAATCTTGTGAAGCCCTGAGTGAATGCTGTTGTGATTTGGGGGTTTACTAAATTTAATTGAATGTTCAAATTTATTTAGCAAATTGAGTAAACAGGAATCGAAGGTCAAAATTCTACAATAAAAAAGTCGGTAATTTTTAAAAAATACCATTTTATTATGAGGATACTAATTCTAGATAATAAAAAAAAAGACTGCACAGTTGAATACATTTTAGTATTTGTTTAGTGAATTATCCTTCAATGTAAAATATTATAACTGCATATTAAGTACTAGTAATGGAGGATAATAGTGACAGTGGGTCAGGTAGGGCATCTGATGTAAAACTTATGCCCAGTTCAAGTACTAATAGATAATTAGGCTGAGCAAATTATGTATTGTTGTTCACAATATTGTTGAAGATGTGTATGTAAAAATTGAATTCTGTGTTGTCTTGTTGTTTTGTAGAATTTCCTTTTGCTTATTTTGTTCAACTTTTCACCCAGGTTTTTATTATTTAGACTGTAATCAGTAATATTTTGGTTAATGTATTAAACAAATCACAACTGCTATTTCCTTTTCTAGGTCATGAAAAACCGCTATGTGAAAACAGGTGATTCTTCGAGTGAAGGAGAGTTAACCGGCGAAAACAGTGACCAGCGCAGCGATGACGAATACTGCCCGTGTGAGGCGTGCATCGCAAAGAAAATGGCCGCCCGTCCTCCGCCCAAAACCAACCCCAACGCCATCCAGGCCCCCTTACATAAAGACTTTGACCTTCTCAAAATTTTGCTCTTCAAAACGGCTCCAGTAACACCAGTGAAAACTGAAGTCAAGCAAGAAGAGGATAAGAAAGCAGTGGAGGATGGGAGGAATCTGGAAGTGGTAGAGGAAGAGGAGGAAGAGACTAGTGAGGTTTTGGGTGCAAAGGAAGAGGGTGCAGAGGAGGAGGGTGTGGAGAAAGAGGAAGGTGCAAAGGAAGAGGGTGCAGAGGAGGAGGACGCAGAGGAAGGCAAGTGCCAATGTCAGTGCAGTAAAGACCAGGATGAAGAAGAGACTGAAGACAGCGATCAAGAGACAGTAAAGGAGAAAAGTTCAGCCAAAGAAGAGACGATGGAGGAGGGAGGAGAGGAGACAAGGAATGAGGAGACAGGAGCTGAGGAAGAGGAGGGTGGAGAGGAGACAAGGAATGAGGAGACAGGAGCTGAGGAAGAGGAGGGTGGAGAGGAGACAAGGAATGAGGAGACAGGAGCTGAGGAAGAGGAGGGTGGAGAGGAGACAAGGAATGAGGAGACAGGAGCTGAGGAAAAGGAGGGAGGAGAGGAGGAGACGAACGAGGGAGGAGAGAGTGACGAGGCATCCACGGAGGAGAGAACATCAGAAAAGGTAACATTTAACTGAGTATGCACCTGTATAGTTAATGGAAGTTAAAGATAAGTG